TTTCTCCAAACTTATGAAATCCTTGTAGATGGAGTACCAAGAAATTCTTGCTCATAAGGAATCTTATTGGTTTCATCAGTACAAGTCTAGCTGGCTTAAATTAGAAGTTAAGAATAATAGTTTTTCTTAGAAATAATAATAATGTTTGGAAATGTGGTGCTATGAACCTTCAAAACTTTGCTGTAAATTACTTTAAAAATATCTATTTTGATCAAAGCCCTGCAAGTAGCCTCCTTTCTACAATATCTACATTTTTCCCCCTCAAAGAAACTGGTAGAGCCATAATAGAATCTGAGCTGACCTTAGAGAAGGTTAAGACTGCTCTGTTTAGCATAGGTGTTCGTATGCAAGTGTACCCATCGTCGAACGGTAATAAAGGGTTTTCAAATAGAGTTCCCAAGTTATTGTCCCACAAAAATTATTTTTAGGTACCAAGAATACCTTGATTTGATTGTTTAAACACAAAAGGAGTGTGTGATAGACAATGTCGAGTGGCTATCAAAACAACTAAGTTTTCTAAAGATTTTGTAATATAGAGTCAAACCTAGGTTGATTTAAGGAGACACATTCTCAGTAAAATTTAATTTTAGGTTTTTCTTTTAAAAAAATACAAATAAGGTTTTTGGAGTTTTAAAAATTACAAATTAATCAAATTAAATTACGAATAGAATTAAAGTGAGTAAAAATGAGTTAAGACACACATAATACTAATTGAGTGTAACTACAGCTATCATAGTATCTAAAGATTTAAATTCGTGTTTGAATAATCACCTAATTCAATTATTAATTCAATTGAATAACCTAATTGAATAGAGTTACAAATTAAATCAAAGAATCATTTAACCTCATCCCCATTAATTATTAAATCAGAGCATCAATCGAGTCCTAATTTGAATTCTAACAATAAAAAAGTTAATTACGATCGCAATACACAATTCTGAGATTAGAGAGAAAAGAGAACAAACTTGGAGCAATTTAGCACAAAACTCAAGTTAAAATTATGGCATTTGGAAGATTGAATGAGAGGTTTAACCTTCCATCAAAACTCTTACCTACACAAGAAGAAGAAAAGAATGAGAGAGTTTGAGAGAAATTAAAAATAAGGATTCTTATTTCGGTCAAGTCTCAAAATCTCAAAGTGTACCCTAATTCAAAACTTTATTAGTCTATTTATAGATTCTGATTAGGGTAAATTAGGTGGCCAAAATTTGGGCCTCAATAATATCTAAAAGCGCAAATACAATTATTAAATAACAAGGGTCCAAATGCAATCCCATAAAAATATTCAGCAAATTTGCCTTAACTTCAAAAAATAGTCAGAGCTTGATTCTTCTTCCTTGCTCTGACTATTTTTCTATTCCTCTTAGCTGTTTTTTCGATTCCTAGATCAAAGAGAAGTGAATTTGGATCAACTATACCTCGCATACAACACAAAGTAAAACAAAATTAGAAAAAAATCAAACAAAATAAAACAAAACAATCTTAAAATAGAAATGCATCCATAGTAGTTCTATTAGCTACTTTCAAGAGTGTTTAACTCTCAATCTCTAGCAACAGCGCCTAAAACTTGACAACACCTCAACAAATGCACTGAATCGTATAAGTAATATAGTGAAAGTAAAGTATCGTTCCCATGGTGATTGATAAAAACACGTATTGATTCACTAAATTGAACTAATTGAATGCAATTAGGATTGAAGATGACTTAAAAATATAAATTGATTTAATTCACTTTGCAAATAAATAGCAACAAAATTTGAAATAAGATGAGAAAATTCAATGACAAGATAGTTAGGATTAGACTTCACCCATTGTTCATGTGATAAACTAAACTCTTTTACTAGTTTAAGCTCTTTTTAAGATGTTAAGAAAGGTTTCCATAAATTAATTCATATCCAATTTCTTGGTATACAAATTCTCTTAAACCTATACACAAAGATTAATTTCTTATTTCCAAATGTATGAGTCTAAGGTTTTAAAGTACAAGGAAACCAAAAGATCACAACCCAATAATTTCTATTCCTAGAAATTTAAATGATAAGGCAAGTAAATCAAGAAGCACAACCACTCATTTCATTTTCTAATGTCAAGAAGGTTCATTAAAAGAAAGTATGAGTAGCTAGTTCATACCAAGCATTAAAAACACATTTACAAGCTAACATCAAAAGAAGCTTAAACTAGAGTCAATAATCTAATTACATCACAATCCCAAAGGGATCCATAATCCCTAACTACAAAATATTTAGCAATCCATCATAGAAATGAAAAACACAAGAAAAGAAGAAGAGGTCCCCTTAGCCATATTCTTGAGAAAAAAATGAGTCTGCGAATCTTCTTCAATCTTTTTCTCCAAAGACCCAAGTATGGGTCCGGTCTTCTTGCCCTCAAAGAGTTGCTCCTTGGCTCTCTCTCACAAAAAACTCTTCTTTCTTTTACAATGTGTCTCCAATCTCTTTTATCCTATACAATATGTATTCTTGTTCACGTCAGTAAGTTTGCGCCTTGATGCACAAACATCTGCACTTTTGCGCTAAAAGTCTTGCAACTTTATTAGCTAATCATGATAAGCGCCTTAGTGCACACAAGCTTGCGCCTTGGCATAGGATGACCCGAGAGCACATTGTCAGACTTGGGTGACGCCTTGGCACACATAGGTTTGTGCCTTGACACTGAATAACCTGCAATCAATATCTAAACTTTAGCAATTTTCACCCAAAACAGTAGTAAGGTAAGAAAAATGTAAAAATTGAGAGATAGAAAATGGAAATGGGCCTATGAAGTCGATTCCCTAAACATCAAACAATTCAACTTCTAAGATATTAGTTAGGGGCATTTCATTTCTTTTTGAGATATTCCCCACCCTTTGACAATTATCACAAGCCTTTGCAAATGAGTGAGCATCCTTCAATAGTGTAAGCCAATAAAATCCACTTTGGAGCACCTTAGTGGCTGTTCTTTTCCCATTATAATGACCTCCGTATGGTGAGCTATGGCAATGCCATAGAATGCTATGAACTTCTTCTATGGGCACACATCTTTTGAGTAATACATTTGGGCAAATCTTGAACAAAAAGGGATCATCCTATAAAAAATGATTAGCATCATGTAGAAATTTCTTTCTTTGTTGCCATGTAAGGTCTTGGGGCATGACATTCGCTGCCTTAAAATTTTCCATAACTGCAAACCATGGCCTTTCTTTGATCATCAAAAGCTTTTAATTTGGAAATTCTTCCATTATCTCCTTTTCTTTCACAATGACACTTCCATCTCTTATTCTTGATAAATGATCAGCCACCACATTCTCTGTGCTTTTTTTGTCTTTTATTTCTAAGCAATAAGAGAATTCATCTTATTAGTCTTGGTTTTGCATCAGCCTTTTTGAAAAAACTTTTTAATGCAGCATGATCAGTATATACCATAACTTTAGAACTAATAAGATATGATCTAAACATGTCAAAGGCAAAAACAACTACAAGCAACTCTTTTTCAGTAATGGCATAATTAAGTTGGGCTTCATTCAAAACTTTACTAGCATTGTAAATGACATGAAAATTTTTTACTTTTCTTTGCCTAAAACAGCCCCAACTGCATAGTCGTTTGCATCACACATAAGTTCAAATTCCAAGTTCCAATCAGGTGTAGAAATAATGGGAGCAAAAATTAATTTCTTCTTTGAAGTATTGAATGCATGCAAACACTCTTCATTGAAATTAAAAGACACATCTTTATTTAATAGCACACACAAAGGTTTAGCAATCTTAGAGAAATTTTTAATAAACTGCCTATAAACCCTGCATGTCCTAAAAACTTCTAATTCCCTTAACATTCATGGGTGGGGGTAATTTTTCAATAACATCTACTTTGGCTTTGTCCACTTCAATACCCTTGCTAGAAATCTTATGGCCAAGCACAATGTCTTCCTAGACCATGAAATGACATTTCTCCCAATTAATGACCAAATTAGTCTCAATACATCTCTTCAAAACAAAAGAGAGATTAGTCAAGCAAGTATTAAAAGATGAACCAAAAACTGAAAAATCCTCCATTAAGACCTCTATAAATTTTTCAATCATATCAGAGAACATAGGAAGCATACACCTTTGAAATGTTGTCGATGCATTGTATAGCCCAAATGGCATCCTTCGATATGCAAAAACTCCAAAAGGACATATGAATGTTGTTTTCTCTTGGTCTTCAGGATCCACTGTGATATGATTATACCTAGAATACCCATCAAGAAAACAGTAGTAGGCATGGCCAACCAGTCTCTCAAGCATCTGATCCATGAAAGGAAGTGAAAAATGATATTTTCTTGTAGCTTGATTTAGCCTTTGGTAATCGATACACATCCTCCAACCGATCACAATGCGAGTGGGTATGAGCTCATTGTTATTATTATGCATCACAATCATACCACATTTCTTAGGTACAACTTGTACTAGGCTCACCTAGGCACTATCAGAAATTGGGTAAATCATGCCAGCTTTAAGCAACTTTAAAACTTCTTTCTTTATGACCTCTTTCACTGTAGGATTCAATCTCCTTTGAGGTTGTACCACTGGCTTGTAATTGTCTTTCAACATGATTTTGTGCATACAAAATACTGGACTTATCCCTTTCAAGTCAGAGATTGTCCAACCATGGCTTCTTTATGCTCTCTAAACACACGGAGCAATTTTTCTTCTTCTAAATGTGCTAACTAGTCACTTATTATAATAGGATTAGTGCCATTTTCATCTAGAAAGGCGTACTTCAAATTTGAGGGAAGTTTTTTCAAATCAATTTTTAGCTTCTTCAGTTGTGCATTTATATCACTTTTCAACTCCTCACTTTGCCTATTTAAGGAGGTGTGAATAGGCAAAGCTTCCAAATTAAGCAAACACTCTTCTGTGTCAAGATCATTTGCATCTTCCATAGTGGCTGAATTCACTAGAACTTTCTTCAGAGAATTGTCATAGGCAACTTGTCTTAAATTTCTCACAGCCAAATTATTAATCACATCAATGCGTCAACAATGCTCCTTTATCATCCAAATGCTTCATAGCTTCAAAAACATTGAAGGTGACATTTTCATCTTGCACTCTCAATATAAATGATCTTCTAGTTGCTAAAAATTGTCTTCCACGAATGAGAGGTACTTCCGCATCCTCATCCATGTCCATAAGGATGTTTAATTGATCGGTCTGTCAATTGGAGAAAAACTATAGCTGACTTAACTTCACCAATACCAAACTTTTTCATAATGGATAATAGCATCAAATTGACATTAGCTCCCAAATCACATAAAGGCTTACCAATGGTCATACTTCCAATAGTACATGGGATACTAAAGTTTCCAAGATCTTTCAGTTTAGGTGGAAGTTTCCTTTGCAAAATTGCACTACATTCTTCTGTTAATGCCATAGTTTCATCTTCTTGCAACCTTCTCTTCTTTGATAGAAGCTCCTTCATAAATTTAACATAGGAAGGCATTTTCTCTAAAGCCTCTGAAAAAGGAATGTTAATCTGAAGCTTTTTGAATATATCAAAGAACTTAGCGAATTGCTTGTCCTTCTCCTTTTTCTACTCATGAGGTGGGTAAAGAAATTTCACAAATGATGGAATCTCTTGTGACTTCTCATACTCCTCAAAGAGTTGTTTGTTGATCTTTTTCCAATGTGACTTCTCATCTATAAGTTTCCCTTTTTGTTGCCTTCCTTCTTTCACCACTTCTTCATATTTTTCTTTTTCAAGTGTTGGGGAATCTTCAACCTCTTCTCCAACAACTTCCTCATTGTCCTTTTCTTCACCCACATTCTCTTCTTTTCTTTTCAGCTCATCTTCATATCGTCTCGCTTTCGGCCCAAGGTCTACATCTTTACCACTCTTTAAAGTTATTACCTTGCAATCTTCCTTTGGATTCACTATTGTATTGCTCGAAAATGGCCTCATAGAAGTTTCTATTGTTTGCTTGGAAAGCTGGCCAATTTGAGCTTCGAGATTTCTTATGCTTGCATCTTGATTTTTTAAGTTTGTTCTTGTTTCAATCATGAAATCAAAATTTTGTTGCACAAAAGACGAAGTGTGCTTGGTCAACTTCTCTAATGCAAGCTCCAATGGAGATGGTTGGCCTTGAGTAGATTGGCCAAAAGGGGGATTAAATGATGAAGATCCCCTTTGAGCTTCTTGATTCCCATGAGAAAAATTGGGATGATTCCTAACTCCTTGATTATAATTGTTAGAGTAAGAGCTGGTTGGATATCTTTGATAGTTGTTCATGTAATTCACTTGCTCATGTCCTCTTTGACTATTTAAGGGAACTTCCATTATCCATTAGAATAATTGCCTCCACAAAAATCACATTTTAACTATTGAACATTAGCAACCACTCCAATTTTTATCTCATTGAGCTGCTTTTTGAGTTGGGTTAATTGATTAGATATAGTTGAGTTCTGAGCCAACAAAGTTTGCATAGCATCCAACTCCAACATTCCTCTTTTGGACAAACTCCTCTTCTTGTGAGTATGATAACTATTTGACGCCATAGTCTCAAGCCAATCTTTCACCTCTTCAATTGTCTTATTATTTAAAGATCCAATAGTTGTTGCATCTATCATAGTTCTTGTAGCTGAGGTCAATCCATCATATAAGGTCTGAATTTGTAACCAATCAGGAATAGCATGATGTGCACATCACCTTAATAGATCTTTGAACCTCTCCCAAGCTTCATACAATGATTCTGAGTCTTGTTGAGTGAAGGAGATAATTTCATTCCTCATCTTTGAAGACTTAAAAGGTGGGAAGTATTGAGATGAAAACTTAGTCACTAACTCATCCCATGTTGAAAACTTCCTTGAGGTTGAGACTAAACCCAAAGCTTAGCCCTATCCCTCAAGGAAAAAAGAAATAAGCGCAACCTCACTGCATTACCACTTACACCTCGCATTTTGAGGGTGTTACATAATTGTAGGAAGTTGGAAATGTGCAAATTAGGATCTTCTAGTGGATTTCCTCCATATTGGTTCTGCTACACCAACTGTAGTAGTGAAGGCTTTATCTCAAAATTGTGAGCTTGAATTGGTGAATTCACAATACTAAAGGCACATCCCTCAACACTGGGGATGACATACTACTCCAAAGTCCTCTGAGGTGATTTGTTGTTGTTCTCAGCCATAATATGTTTTAATGAAGCTTCTGTTTGATTCTTCTTCCTTGCATTGACTATTTTTCTATTCCTCTTAGCTATTTTTTCGATTTCTGGATCAAAGAGAAGTGAATTTGGATCAATTGTACCTCGCATACAATACAAAATAAAACAAAATTAAATAAAGATCAAACAAAATAAAACAAAACAATCTTAAAATAAAAGTGCATCCACAGTAGTTCTATTAGCTACTTTCAAGAGTGTGTAACTCTCAATCCCCAGCAACGGCGCCAAAAACTTGACAACGCCTCAGCAAGTGCACTGAATCGTAGAAGTAATATTGTGAAAGTAAAATATCGTTCCCACGGAAATTGATACAAATACGTATTGATTCACTAAATTGAACTAATTGAATGTGATTAGGATTGAAGATGACTTAAAAATATAAATTGATTTAACAACAAAATTTGAAACAAGATGAGAAAATTCAATGACAAGATAGTTAGGATTAGACTTCACCCATTGTTCATGTGATAAACTAAACTCTTTGACTAGTTAAAGCTCTTCCTAAGATGTTATGAAAAGTTTCCACTAAATTAATTTATATCCAATTCCTTGGTATACAAATTCTCTTAAACTCATACACAAAGATTAATTCCTTAATTCCAAATGTATAAGTCTAAGGTTTTAGAGTACAAGGAAATCAAAAGATCACACACCCAATAATTTCTATTCTTAGAAAATTAAATGATTAGGCAAGTAAATCAAGAAGCACAACCACTCATTCCATTTTCCAATGTCAAGAAGGTTCATCAAAACAAAGTATGAGTAGCTAGTTCATACTAAGCATTAAAAATAAATTTACAAGCTAACATCAAAAGAAGCTTAAACTAAAGTCAATAATCTAATTACATCACAATCCCAAAGGGATCCATCATCTCTAACTACAAAATATTTAGCAATCTATCATAAAAATGAAAAACACAAGAAAAGAAGGAGAGGTCCCCTTAGCCATATTCTTAAGAAAAAAATGAGTCTGAGAATCTTCTCCAATCTTTTTCTCCAAAGACCCAAGTATGGGTCCAGTCTTCTTGCCCTCAAAGAGTTGCTCCTTGGCTTCTCTCGCAAAAAACTCTTCTTTCTTTTATAATATGTCTCCAGTCTCTTTTATTTTATACAATATGTATTCTTGTCTAAGTCAGTAAGTTTGCGCCTTGATGCACAAACGTCTGCACTATAGCGCTAAAAGTCCAGCAACTTTATTAGCTAATCGTGATAAGCGCCTTAGTGCACACAAGCTTGTATCTTGGCACAAGATGACCCGAGAGCACATTGTCACACTTGGGTGGTGCCTTAGCACACATAGGTTTGTGCCTTAGCGCTGAATAACCTGCAATCAGTATCCAAACTTTAGCAATTTTCACCAAAAATAGTAGTAAGGTAGGAAAAATGTAAAAACTAGAATTCTAATAAATTTAGAAGAAAAAATGAAAAATAAGAAGTTAAAGAAGAAGAAATAATATTAAAATTAACTAAAAAACTACATACTACTAAACTCTTAACAGAGTACCAGAAAATTCTTGATCATAAGAAATTTTATTGGTTTCGTTAGTATAAGTCTAGCTGGCTTAAATTAGAAGATAAGGATAATAGTTTTTTTCATAAAGTTGTGGTCATTCGTAGACAACATAATATAAAGCCCTTCGAGATAATAATAATGTTTAGGAATATGATGCTATGAACCTTCAAAACCTTATTGTAAATTACTTTAAAAACTTCTATTTTGATCAAAGCCTTGCAAGTGGCCTCCTTTCTACAGTATCTACATTTTTCCCCCTCAGAGAATTTGGTAAAGCCATAATAGAATTTGAGCTAACCTTAGAAAAGGTTAAGATTGCTCTGTTTAGCATAGGTGTTCGTATGCAAGTGTACCTATTGTCGAACAGTAATAAAGAGTTTTCAAAAAGAGTTCCCAAGTTATCGTCCCACAAAGATTATTTTTAGGTACCAAGAATACCTTGATTCGATTGTTTAAACACAAAGGGAGTCTGTGATAGACGATTGCGAGTGACTATCAAAACAACTAAGTTTTCTAAAGATTTTGTAATATAGAGTCAAACCTAGGTTGATTTAAGGAGACACATTCTCAGTAAAATTTAATTTTAGGTTTTTCTTTTAAAAAAATGCAAATAAGGTTTTTGGGATTTTTAAAATTGCAAATTAATCAAATTAAATTATGGATAGAATTAAAGTGAGTAAAAATGAATTAAGAAACATAGAATACCAATTATGTGTAACTACGGCTATCATAATATCTAAAGATTTAAATTCACGTTTGAACAATCAACCAATTCAATTATTAATTTAATTGAATAACCTAATTGAATAGAGTTACAAATTAAATCAAAGAATCATTTAACCTAACCCCATTAATTATCAAATTAGAACATCAATCGAGTCCTAGTTTTAATTGTAGCAATAGAAAAGTCAATTACGATTACAATACATAATTCTTAGATAAGAGAGAAAAAGGAACAAACTTGGAGCAATTTAGTGCAAAACTCAAGTTAGAATTATGACGTTTGGATTCCGCAGATTGAACGAGAGGTTTTGCCTTCCATCAAAACAAATAACTCACGCAAGAATGAGAAAAGAACGAGAGAGTTTGAGAGAAAGTAAAAATAAGGATTCTTATTTCGGTCAAGTCTCAAAATCTCAAAGTGTATAATCGCATCATACCCTAATTTAGAACCATATTAATCTATTTATAAATTTTGATTAGGGTAAATTAAGTGACCAAAATTTGAGCCTCAATAATATCTAAAAGCTCAAATACAATTATTAAATAACAAGGGTCCAAATGCAATCGCGCAAAAATATTTAGCAAATCTGCCTTTTCATAAAAAAAATCATAAAAAAAAAAATAACAACTCCAAATCTAGCGATCCATATATGCATTTTGAAGTCCTTGATGTGTAGAATCCAATGCAACTAGAATTATCCAAAAAAGATATTTGTAAAAAAAGTAATGGCTGAAATAGTAGTCAAAGGTCAGAATAACCAAAAATACGAAATTAAAACGTCTATTTGTAATATACTCAATTTATTCAAATAAGTAAAAAATGGTAAAAACTATACAAATAAAGTATATGAAAATTGTTTATTAATTAAAATAAAACTATAAATATAAACTTAAAATATGTTACATCAGTGTGATGGATTAAAGAGGGTAATAATGCAATGTATGAGAGAAATTGAATGAGATTAGTTTAGGACTTATGGTTTCACCTATTATACTTCTTTATGTTCTAATTATTTTAATTTAGGTATTGGTATCTGAATATTTGCCAACCACTTATACTAGTTTTATTAACATCCAATGATCATACAATATTAATATTCTTTTCTTTAAACAATCACTCTCAATGATCATGCGAGGCAAATGGTAGAGAAAGCATAAGGATCCTATGAGTTTATTAATTCAATAACAATTGAAAAGGAAGAATTAAATGTGATTAACCCAACCTCTTATCTCATTTTATCTTATAGTTTCATTAATTACACGTGATACGATCGCCTATGATGCAACTAATTATGAGTTGTTAAGGGTAATCAATTCTTAATATGCATAATATAATTTAATAGGATAAAAGCCAAATATTAAAGGAAAATCAATACCGATATTAAAAGTAAAAATCATATAAAGTATGCAATAGGATCCACCATAACCTAGCTATCAATTTAGTTACTCATAATGAAATAAACAACAACAAAAATAATGAACCAATCCATAAAACACTAGGGGAATTCAAACAAGGGAAACCCAAAATGGGAAAAGATAAAAAGAGTTCTCGTTCTCCAATGGGTGCTTGATCACTTGCATGGACTTTGAAGGGGTTCGTTGCTTTGTCAATGATTTCCAATAACTCTCAATAGTGAAGCAAATCAGAACTGAGAAGGGGAGGAATGTGTGTAGAAGAAGATGTAAAACCAAGTAGAAAGTGTCCCCCAAAGTAGAGCATAAGGCCTCTTTATATAGGATGTCCAATGAGTTTCTAGTCGATTGAGTTCTTATCTTTTCGAATAAATTTTATTCACAATCAAAATATGGATCCAAACTTTCGCATGGTTTAAATTTAAATTTAAAATTTTGAATACATATCCATCCAGCACGGCTGTGCTAGATAACGAAGCATACCAATGTCAAGTGCGAAGCACAATTGTGCTTAAGTGTAGGACCAACTAAAATTATTCAACTTTTTGCTCAGAATATTTCCAAAATGCACTGATGACTCTCTTATGCTTATTTGCAAAAATTAACATTAAAATTAGTGAGAAACCTCCATAAAATAAACTCTAATTACAAAAATATAAGGCATAAAGTACATCAAAATATGGACTTATCAATAGAATTTACAGAGCCTGATGGCCTTCATGCTTTATTCTTTATGAACTAGTGGGATTTTCTAGCCTTTTTTATCCTCAAGTTCATTTTAGAAATATTCTTTAATCCTACGAATATTATAGCTATAAATGACACAGTCATTTTTTTTATTCCTAAAGTGAAAAACCTGAACACATTAAGCAGTTTACACCTATTTCCTTATGTAATGTCACCTACAAAATCATAACAAAAAT